CCTCTACAGCATGCTAATACATGGGTTCAAAAGTGGCAAGAGTTTTATTTAGGGTGGCCACAGCAGGGACATTGTGTCAAGCATGACTCTCCAGGCCACTGTTTCTTAACCCCTAATGCTGGGACCCTTTAATACAGTTCCTCATGTTGTAGTGACCCAACCATAAAATTATTTTCATTACTACTTCATAATTGTAGTTTTGCTACTGTTATGAGTTGTAATGTAAATATATATGTTTTCCAGTGGTCTTAGGCATCCCCTGTGAAAGTGTCCTTCGATCCCAAAAGAGGTTTTGATCCACAGGTTGAGAACTGTTGTTGCTCTAGGCCCTTCTAAAAGTAGGACCTGGAGTACCTAGGCAGCTGGCCTTGTCACCCCTGCATGCCTCCCGTAAAGACAGCCTCTACTCCCGTTCTCAACTCTAAAAAGTAGTGTGCAGTTAGGCATAGTGGCGTGCCCCCTTAATCTCAGCGTTTGGGAGGTGGTGACAGGTGGATCTACGTGAGTTTCAGGACAGCCAGGGCTACATAGTGAGACCCTGTCTTCAAAACAAAAAACCAAACAGACAAGATTTGGGCTTGTCAGGTCTGTCTAGTGACAGAGTATCCTGAGATGGTGACAATCTCTCCAGTTCCCATCTGAAGGAGCAATTGAAAGATGTTTACTTAATGACAGTTAAACAATGGGGAACAGCTCTGTTCCCTCTACACAGCTCTCAGTAACTATGACAACCAGATCCTGTCAGGATCACCTGATATGACTAGTGTGACCACTCCACTGCTCAGGGCCACAGAGATGTTACAAGGCTGGACTTAGCAAACAAACAAACAAACAAACAAACATAATTCATTTGTTTTGTGAGGGACAGGGAACACTTACATCTTGTCATAGGACGACTTGCAGGAGTCAGTTTCCTTCCTCCACCATGGGGCAAGCGCCTTGTCTGAGCCATTTGCTGGCCCTTGCCTTTTTTTTTTTTTTTTGTAGAAGAATAAAAGTGTTTATGTGTATGCGTGTTCCAGAAGATGGGAGTGTGACTCAGTTAATGAGGGCATGTGTGGGCGGGGCCAGGGCCTGACTCTCCAAACCAGGAAGTCCATCCCCTCCCTCCCTTTGAAAGTGATGAGACCCCCACCCTCATCCCCCAAACCTGAAGTTCTATTCTTTTAAAATGCAGTATTAAAGCCAGGCATGGTGGTACAGAGCTGTAATCCCAGCACCTGGGGAGCTGAGGAGGTCTTGTGTTCTAGACCAGCCTGGTCAACATAGAAGTCTTGTCTCAAGATAGCCAAAACCCAAATGCAGGTACCAGGATGACTCTCCAAGTGTGTCCCTGTCCCCGCCAGGGACAATTTTAGGAATTCTAAACACCCCGTCTTGTAATTTTTCACGTGTCTGAATTTTCATAGTAAATGTATGAAGCAGGTTTGGGGCTGATCGTTGGGGAAACAAGAAAGGACAGTGTGTCCTTCACATCTGTCCCTCCCGTGGCAGGACAGTGTCAGTCTCTGCTTCGCAGTGGTTGCATTGTTCCTTTTGTCAGGAGTGTCTGTTGTGAAGCTGGGTCCGTGTTCCAAACAGATGGGGTGGGGGTGGGGTCATCTTCCAGACAATCAGCTGATTTTGGGTCTGCCTGTGGCCTTGCCTCTGCATTTCTTTTCCTGTCAGAGGAAAACCACAGTGCACCTCAAACGGCTCTTGGGCCCCCTTCTCATTCTTCTGGCTTTTTATTTTTGGCTCTGAAGTGGTTTTCACAGCACACTCCTGTGATCTTCTGAAACCCCCTTTCTGCCCTCCTGGAGAACTTGGTGTCTCCTCCCCAACACTACATGTGGGTTTGCTTCTCGTACAGACTTCATCTTGAACCATGTAGCTCACTTAAAGCTCTTAACAAGACAGTGATGGAGCTAGAATTAACTTAATTCCATATGTAACTAGTACCATTGAACATATAGCCAGTGTAAGTTATTGATGAACTATCTTACATTAGTTTTATGTAGTAAGTTTTTAAAATCTAGGTTATACTATACATCAACATCCTACCTGATATTGGATGTTCTTCTTGTGTGTGTGTGTGTGTTGTTTTTGTTTTTCCAGATATGGTTTCTCTGTGTAGCCCTGCTGTCCTGGAACTGGCTCTGTAGACCAGGCTGACCTTGAACTCATAGAGATCTGCCTGCCTTTGCTTTCTGAGTGCTGGGATTAAAAGGGTGCACCATTATTGCCTTGTGGGTGTTAATTTTTAAATAGATATTTTTTATTGGGGTGGGCATACATTAGTTTATTAATTAATTATTGGGGTGGGCACCCATCTATCCATGTGTTGATCGATTGCTCTCTTGATCTGTCTGTTGGTGGCAGGCACACATGCCTCAGCACATCTGTGGAGGGAGGTCAGAGAGCACGGTTTGCAGGAACCCTGTCTCTCTCTTCACCATGTGGGTCTTAAGGACTGAACTTGGGGTCATCATGTTCTACTCACTGGCGTCATGGCTTTTATTCGTGTTGTTTTACCAAGCATTTCCAGGCCCACCCCCGGGCTTCTTTCCCCACTTTGAAATGCCCTTCTAAACTCCCTGAGACTCCGCTCCTTGGGTCCAGTAGCATTTCTTTAAAGATGGACTCTGCAAAGGGCCCATCTCTTTGCTTCCCACACATTCTGGAACAGGAGCTGGTTTTTGTGGATGGAGGTGACAGCACTGTCCAGCCCCGATGTGTTGGCACACTGCCCTGGGTCCTGGCTGCCAGTGTCTCCTGAGATGAACTTAAAAGCTGCAGAGCCTGTCCTGTCTGATTGGGAAACAGCCACACAAAGGAGGCCCTGTGTCCCACCACAGCTGCCCCATGACTTCTGAGCATCAGCAGGCCAGGGCACAGCCTTGGTCCCAGAATGTAATTCCAGGCAGGTAGCAGACTAGGCAGGTAGCAACAGTTCCGCCAAGGGCAGTAAACCTTCTCCCTCACTGAAGTCACTGTGTCCCTAGCTGCCCTGGGACTCCACTTTCCAAATGAGAAGTGATGTACTGGGGTTTACTTTTGGGATATTTTGAGACAGGATCTTATTATGTAGCCCAGGCTGGCCTCAAAATTGCCACCTAGCCAATGATGATCTTAAACTCTAATCCTCCTATTAGGATAAAGCTTGAAGGGGGACCTTGGGTGCCGAGCCATGGAGGATTCCATGGCAGGCTAGGGTGACCAAGTCGGGGGACAAACACGCCAAGCAGACAGAGCTTAAGTGAGAAGTTTTATTAAAAAGGGGAGGGAGGGGGAAGGAAAGAGAAAAGAGGTAAAGAGACACAGAGACAGAGAGAGAAGACGGAAGAGAAGAGGGAGACAGGAAAAGCCCTGTCTGCCCCAGGGAACGGCAGAAAGAGAAATTGGGAAGAGAGCTGGAAAAGGGCAGAAAGAGAGGAGAGCAGGGAGAGAGAGAAGAGCCCGAAAGAGAGCATAAGTGGGTGGGGTCTGTCTTTTAAAGGGGTCCTTTGCACCTGTGTGCAGACTAGCACTCATGGAACTCTGGGCTGACCAGGTTACTGCCTGAATGCATTCTGCCAGGTGACAGGGGCAGGCCAGCATAATGCCTGCATCCTTACACCTCCTGCCTCAAGTGCTGAGATTACAAATATTTGCTGCCGTATCTAGGTTTTGAAATGTTGGGGATCAAGCCCAGGGCCTCATGCATGCTAGGCAAGCGCTTTACCAACAGAGCCATATTCCCAGCTACTATGCTTCGTTGTAAGATTTAAAAAATGATGCATTTGTGTGTTTTGCTTGCATATATGTCTATGCATCACATACGTGTAGTATCTGCAGAGGCCAGGAAAAAACCCACTAATTTCCTAGATCTGGAGTTACAGGTAATTGTGAGCCTCCCCCAGATCAGGTGGCTCCAGGTCCTGAAAGAGTAGTTTTACTTTACCAGGTGGTAGTCTAGCACTGGAGTAATGGCTCAGTGGTGTGAAGAGCATATATTGTTCTCCTAGAGTTTGGGTCCCAGCATCCACCACAAGTGCCTCAAAACTGTCTGTCACTCCAGCTCCAGGATGCTTGATGACCTCTTCTGACACTGCATTCACACATGCACGGAACACACAGTTAAAAATAAAGATTCCAAAAGTAAATAAAAAAAGGGACAGATTCATTTGGGCACCTTGAACTGTCCTTGATCTTGTTTCTCCCGTCCAGTGCTGAGATACAGTGTAGGCACCATACCCTGCACACATTCACTCTGAAAACAAAAACAACAAAGCAACACAAATGGTCAACTCTTGGTTGTACAATCTGAGATCTTATAAAGTGAAAAGTAACCAGACCCTAGTGACAAAAGAGAGCATGGCCAGCCTCCTGTCCCCTTCTAGATTTTTCTCCGTGCCATGGGTTTTGGGGCACCAGGTTTTATTCACATCTTCTGATGGTTGTCGTTTAAAAGCTGCCATCACTTCCATCACATGAGACAGTTAACAAAAAACCACGTTGGTTAAACAGAAGAGATGCTGGTTTGGAGTGTGTGGGTTCAAAGGGAGCTCCTCGAGTGGCTCAGGCTGGTCTCCAACACTGTCTTGAACTTCTGCCTTCACCTCTCCAGTACTGGGGTCTCAGGCATGTGTCCACCCCCCAGATCAGGTGAATTTCTTTCTTTCTTTCTTTCTTTCTTTCTTTCTTTCTTTCTTTCTTTCTTTCTTTCTTTCTTCCTTCCTTCCTTCCTTCCTTCCTTCCTTCCTTCCTTCCTTCCTTCCTTCCTTCCTTCCTTCCTTTCTTTCTTTCTTTCTTTCTTTCTTTCTTTCTTTCTTTCTTTCTTTCTTTCTTTCTGGTTTTTCGTGACAGGTTTCTCTGTATTGTTTTTGGAGGCTGTCCTGGAACTCACTCCGTAGACCAGGCTGGCCTGGAACTCACAGAGATCCGCCTGCCTCTGCCCTCCCAAGTGCTGGGATTAAAGGTGTGTGCCACCAATGCCCAGCCAGGTGAATTTCTTACGGTGTCCTCTATTTTTGCTTTAGGTAAAATGTCGGCTCCAGGACCTTACCAGGCGGCTGCAGGCCCCTCTGCAATTCCCACCGCACCCCCAACTTATGAAGAGACAGTGGGTGTCAACAGTTACTACCCAGCGCCCCCAGCACCTGTGCCAGGGCCAGCCACAGGACTCATTACAGGCCCGGATGGGAAGGGCATGAATCCTCCTTCGTACTATACACAGCCCGTGCCTGTTCCCAACGCCAACGCAAGTATGTATGTCACCCAGGTCTTCTTTGCACCTCCTTAGTCACCAAGCCCGTGGACCCTGAGAGGTAGAGGACAGCAGCAAGGTGCCAAAATGTCAAAGCCAAGCGACAAGCACTGAGACATCCACCCCACCCTGGTTTCCCATAGGACATTTCGGACTTCCCATTGTTGAGTCCCGTAATTTCCTCCTATGAAACACGTGTAGGGGCCAGCAGCAGGACGACTCAGTGGGTAAAGGTGCTTGCTGCTAAGCCTGAGTTGCTCCTCAGGACTCTAATGGTGGAAAGAAAAAAAAAATAAACGGCTTCCAAAAGTTGCCCTCTGAGCTCCACACGCACACACATGTGTGCAGAGGCGTTAATCATCAATGTAATCAAAGCAAACAGCAGCAACCACACGCCTGCTGAGCTCACAGCACCCGCTACAGCCTCTTGCTCCAGGGAAATTTGGGAATGGGAGTTTTTGAGTTCAGAACCAACGCTGGATAGAGGACTGTTCTGTGGCCAGCTGGGGTGGGAACAGGAGCAGGAAACAGAAACGGTGCTGAGCCAGAAAAGGGAAGCAAAGCGGCTGACCCCCTGCTGGGCAGGGTCTGACCGGACCCTAGGGAGGCCTCCTTAGAGTCCTGGTTGGTGAGAGTTGTCGATGGCCGCGCGCGCGTGCACGCACTGCTGAGCATCATCAGCTGATGAGAGCCGTCTGAGGGAGTAAGCCTCTGACCTCAGGCCAGCAGAGCTTGTACCCTGCCCTTCTGTTTTTAGTTTTGTTTGTGTGTGTGTGTACCTGTGGAGGTCAGAGGTCAACCGCAGGAGCTATCCACCTTGTTCTGTAAAAGTGTGTGTGTGTGTGTGTGTGTGTGTAAATGCTAGCATGTATGTATGCGCACCATGTTGCATGCCTGACGCACAGGGAGGGCAGAAGGAAGGAGCCTTTGGGTTTACAGGTGGTTGCGAGCCACCATGTGGGGGTGTGAATAGAACCTGAATTCTGGAAAAGCAGCTAGTGCTCTTAATGACTGAGCCATCTCTCTAGACCCCTTACTCACCTTCCTAATGGCTCAGTTTCCTCGTCAGCACGTCCCTGAGTTAGTGGGTCATTCTGTTAAAATTAACTTCCTGGGTCAAGCACAGAGCCATCACCTGCTAAGAAGAACTGGCCATTGTGTCCAGTTCTGACTTCTTGAGGTGGAACGTGAGCTAGTAACTTTTTCAGACAGGGTATTAATATGTAGCCCTAGTTGATCTGGAACTCACTGTGTAGACCAGGCTAGCTTTGGACTCCTGGTTTTATTAGCCCTGAATGCCTGAGTGTTGGGGTTGCAACCGCGAATCACCATGCCCAATTTATGAAATCCTGGGGGTTGCACACATTAGTCACCTCTCAGCCAGCTGCCCATGTCAGGAGCCCTCTACTTTCGTCACTTAGACTGTCCTGTGATCAAGAAACAACTTATTTTTGGACCAAAACAAAACAAAAATTACTTACTGCCCATTCCTGTATACCTGAAGTATGTTTCTTCCTGTTTTCTGAAGTGGGGTATTGGTGCTAGCAGGTTACTTCTAGGTAGTCCCTAGTCCCCCCAGCTCCAGGTTGTATAAACGATGTTCCAAGGACCTAGCTGTGGAGGGGAGTCACTGACAGGAACATAGCTGAAGCAGCCTCAGCACTTCAGGACCTCCGTCACTGGAGGTCACCCCCTGACCTCCATGAGTGTCTTGCTCTATGGCTCAAGGCGCTTAGCAGTGTTCCAGTTGTGTGTCTGCTCGGTTTCCTGGCAGTGGGCTTATGTTTCCCAGTTGGTAAACTTCATACGGTTATCATCGGGTGTCAGGGTTCAACTGGGAGCAGTGGAGCGTGCGTGCACGTGTGCGTGCGTGTGTGTGTGTGTGTGTGTGTGTGTTGGAGGATGTTGGTGGTGAGGGTACATTAGGTACCACCAGAGACTGTAGACTATACTTGCCTCGAAGAATCCTAATAGCAATTGTCCCTTCCACTTAAATATGCAGAGACTATTTAAAACTCTCCAGCTATGCAGAGAAGGGATCCAAGAACCCTCTTGTTTACTCTGTACTGCTTTAGCACAGGTGGCAGTCACCACTTCCAGAACATCCCCACCTCATCCCCACCCCCACTCTTAGCTTCCCACAGCCACTCTTGGCTATAGAAAATCAGGTCTAAAGCCCAGCATGTCTCTGCTTCTCTAACTCCTTCTGCAGACCACCTCAGTAAAGCCGTCTGCAGAACTCAAGAGAAGTTTGGGGTCCCTGCTTGAGTCTGACCTCTAGGCCCAGATCCTGGAAACTGCTGAACTCAGTAAGGATCATGCAGGACAGGTGGTCTAGGAGAGCCAGGGCCGCCAGCAGGACCCAAGGTCTTTATCTCTTTTCTATAGACTTAAGAACTCCTCAGCAAAGTCTGAAAATCTGTCACTGTTTTCTATTTCCTTTTTGTCATTTTTCTTTCTTTTCTGTGTATGTATATTTTAAAACATGCATGATACTTAGGAGGCATGGCCATAAATTCAAGGTCAGCCTGGTCTATGTAATAATTCCAGGCTAGCCAGGATTGCATAGACAGGCCATGTTCCATCCCACCCCTTCCTAAACAGTGTATGCACACAGATACAACATAGCATAGAATCTACCATGTGGCTGCATGGTATAGTGGTACATTCTTGTAAGTACAGAACTGAGTAGGCTACTGAGACAGGGGGATCACAAATTTAAAGGCAGTGTAGCCTATATGATCATAAAAAGATGGGAAAAATCAACCACTGTAATTATCCCATTTAAAAAATAACACTTGTGGGGCTGGAGAGATGGCTCCCACCTTAAGAGCACCATCTGCTCTTCCAAAGGACCCTGGTTCAATTCCCAGCACCTGCATAGCAGCTCACAACTCTCTGTAACTCCAGTTCCAGGGCACCCGACACCCTCACACAGACATACATGTAGGCAAACACTGATGTTCATATAATAAAAATAAATAAAATAAAAAATGATGCATGCTCTCTCTGTCTTTTCTACCCTGGGAGCAGCTCTCCTGCCTTGGCCCCTCGCCCCTGAAAATGTATGCCTGCTCCAAGTTCATCTCCGCCTGCTCCTTGATCAGGAGCACCTCTCAGCTGCTGAGTCGTTCACTGTCTGCAGTGGAGTTGAATCGACCACAGACATGGACAGATGAGGGCCTCAGCAGCTTGACAGCCCCTCGTCCTCTGACCTCACTCATCCCTAGCCACAGCTTCCAAACCAGTGTCATTTCCAGGGACATCGACACAGCTGCCAAGCTCATTGGGGCTGGGCTGCTACAGTTGGGGTGGCTGGCTCTGGGGCTGGGATTGGGACTGTTTTGGGAGCCTCATCATTGGTTATGCTAGGAACCCTTCTCTGAAACAGCAGCTCTTCTCCTACACGAGTCTGGGCTTTGCCCTCTCAGAGGCCATGGGGCTCTTTGGCCTGACAGTGGCCTTTCTCGTCCTCTTCACCATGTGAAGCAGCCGTCTCCACTTCCACCTCCATAGTCCTCTCGTGTCCCGTCTGCCCTGTGTGTCCTTTTCCTGTACCTCCCCAGGAAGTCTGGGGAAAGTGATTGGCTCAGGGTTTGGCAGAGTGAAGACAAATAAATATATGTTGAAAAAATACTTGTGTTTATTCTTAGAACATTTCATGCATATATATGTGTGTGTATGCGTCCATGTGTTTGCACACACATGCATACACATATATATTTATAGTCTTCATCGTATCCACGTCCGTCCCCCTCCACCTCCCTCTGCTCTCTCTAGCTGTCCCCTTCCCAGCTTCAAGTCCTTCCTATCTCTTTAACCATTTGAAAGTACAGCTCAGTGGTGTTAGGTAGATACACTGTCCACCTCCACTGAGTGTCTGAACCTTCCACCCCCACCCACCCCAAGCGTTGACTCAAGTGGGCTCCTGTAGACATCTCTGGAGTCACCCGGTCTCATCCTTTTGTGACTGGCTTGTTTCACTCAGCATAGTGTCTGTCAGAATCTCCTTTCCCTTAAGGCTGAGCTGTTGTCCAGGCAGCTACAGTTTATTTATCCTTTCTTCCTTGGGATCCACTATGAGCTTGGGCTCTGGGGTACCCGCTGTAACCCCGGCTCTCATGTGTTGACACAGAGCAAGCGCTCTTTTCTTTGTTCACTGAATAGTGTTGTCTTCTACCCTCAGTCGCCGTGCAGACAGTGTATGTGCAGCAGCCTGTCTCCTTTTATGACCGCCCTGTCCAGATGTGCTGTCCATCCTGCAGCAAGATGATCGTGACCCAGCTGTCTTACAACGCCGGCGCCCTCACCTGGCTGTCCTGTGGCAGTCTGTGTCTGCTGGGGTGAGTTTACCCCTGTGGCCTCTGGAGGGTTCCCTCTATGGATCTTGATATTCAGACTGGGGACTTAGCTGTGGCAGGGGCTGTCCTTTGCATTATAGGAATGTGTGTGTCTGTGTGGGTCCACATGTGTATGCGCCGGTGTAGAGGCTAAGGTTAGCTGTTTGTCTTGTCTACTGAGACACGTGCTCACTGCTCTTAGACCTCCAAGTAGGTTAGGGTAGCTGGACAGTAAGCCCCAGAGACCCCTCTGTCTCTACCTCCCCAACTCCAGAACTACAAGTTGGTACCATTGTGCCTGGTTCATCATTCACTACCTCACAAATAATTTATAAAATTGCTTCCCTTTTTCATCTTTTGTGTATATGTGTGTGTGTGTGTGTGTGAAGGTCAGAGGACAACTTTCAGTGGTCAGTTTCTTTCCTTTTACCCCGTGGTTCAGGGGGATTGAACTCAGGCTCTCAGACTTTCAAGTCAAGTTCCTTACTGACTCAGTTATCCCCCAAATACCTGTAGGGATTTTCTTTCTTTTGTTTTTATGGTAGTTAGGCCAGAGCTCAACCTCAGCTTGCTGGACTAGCTCTCTATCTATATACCCCAGCCTGTTTGAGGATGTTAAAGCTGACCTTGGCAGAGTCCTGTTATTCAGCACCAGCAGACGGAGGTGAAGGCAGGAGGAGTGAAAATTTGAGTGCAGCCTGGGTTACAGAGTGAGACTTCGTCTCAGTAAAACACAAAACAGGGCTGGAAATATGGCTCAGCAAGTAAGGGTGCTTGCCCTCAAGCCTCACAACCTGAGTTTGATCCCAGAACCCACACAGAGACCTGACTCCCAAAAGTTGTCCCCTGACTTTCACATTTGTGCTGTGACGCATATACACCATCAATGGGTGGATGTAATAATTAAAAATGAAAGCCTGGAGCAGTACACCTGGTCTCAGCTTTCTAGAAGTTCATAGTGCCCCCTCCCCAGAGGACAGCCACCAAAAATCACCCCTGTGCCTGCTGAGTGCCCCTAGATGAGAACTCTGCTCAAACACATGTGGAAATCACTGGTGAGTTCTTGTAGAGCCCCACTGAGCAGCTGTTCACATCTGCAGAGGGTAGGACCCTCGGGCTTCTTCTTCTAGAATTTCATGACCTAAATAATAATTTTTGCTTGACCCTGAGAGAAGCTTCAAACATTCTGTACAGTAACACACTTTACAGGCCTCCCCTCACCCAGGCATCTCCCTTACAACCTCCATGTTTTCCCATTGCCAGTGCAAGGGATTACATAAATATTTATGTCTGCACCAAAAGCGATGCTGGTCTCTGCTGTGGGAGAGAAATCTGAGCAAAAGCAATTGCATGTTTTTCCTAAAGCAGGTAATTGCAGGAGCCTTGCCCTTTCTGGCCTGTGGGCCACTTAGAAAGCCACTACTGTGTGCTCTTTCCTGGAAGAGCAGGGAGGCCCAGTCTCCTCACAGGCTGCTTGTGACTTTAGGTGGAGAAGAGACAGCATTGTTCTTCCTTATTTCAAAGGTGGAGAACCCTGGAGCCTCTGTTCTCCAGGGAAGAAGTGGGCTATGCAGGCCTGTCCACCCATCCTTCTCTGTATTCCTTTGCAGCTCCATTGTGGACTCTGACAGCCATCCTCTGGGCAGAAAAGGCTTAAATAAAAGTTCATTGCTGACCGGGTCTGCCATCTCAACACTTAGGTGTGAGCAGGAGGATCACTAGCTCAGGGCTTACCTGGGCACCTGAGTGGATAGTGTCCACAAGAAAGCTGTGCATAGTGGTATACACCTGGACTGCCGGCATGCCTGAGGCTGAGGCAGGCGAATCAGTAGTGTAAGTCCAGCCTCTGCCACATAGGGAGTTTGAAGCTACTCTGGGCTACATGAGACCCTGCTTTCAAAAACAAAAGTAAACTAAGGTCTGGGGATACGCCAGAGTACGGAGTGGTGGAAAGCTCGCCTAGTGTGTGTGAGGCAGTTTCCATCTCCCGTGCCACAGATTGCTGCTGGGCCTGATGGCACACATCTGTCATCCTTGCCTTGGAAGGCAGAGATAGGAGGATGTAAGTTCAGGGCGAGGCTGGGCTACCTGGTAAGACCCCATCTCATAAAAAAAAAAAAAAAAAACAAAGCAGCCAGCTGTGATGGCGCAGGAAGGCAGATCTGAGTCTGAGGCCAGCCTGATTTACATAGGGAGTTCCATGTTAGCCAGGGCTACACAGTGAGATCCTGTCTCAAAAGGAAAGGGAGGAGACTTTCACTGCTTTGAGATATTTAATCTGAAATGGGGATGGGGCAGCACAAGGTCAGCCTCATCTGAGCCAACTTCTCAAGTCTACATTAACTTTCTGCCTCTTCTCAACTTTTTAATCATTTTGAGACGTGGCCTCGCTGCCGTGAATCAGATTCCCTCAGGCAGATGACTTCCCTTCTCTGGGGTTGAGTACCCACACTTGCCTCCTGGGGGTGTGGTGAGGAGGAGGTCAGTGTATCTGGAGTTGCAGGGACCTCACAGGGAGAGGAGTGAGCAGGCAACAGCAGGCTGTGTTCCCACCATGGGCCCAAGGCTCTAGGAAGTCCCATTCATGAGCTGTTAGGAGAGTCACGCGGGGCTGTTAGGAGAGTCACGCGGGGACGTGGATTTCCTAGTCGTGAGAACCCTGAAGACACCTTTGCTCCAGGCTAACCCCAGCCATTCCTGTTTAAGTCTGACTGGTTGCGGCCAGCCTCATTTATTGTTTCTGCATGTTCATACTCTTCTCGTTCATGCTGCCAGGCAGGGCTGGAGAACAGACAAAACATAGGCCATCTAACATGTCTAACACATGGACGGTGCCCTTTACAAAGCAATTCGCCAACCCTCATCTAAGATAATGATGACCTCCTCGTCTTCCCCCTTCCCTCCCTCCTCCTCCCTCTCCTTGTCTTATATAGGGTCTAATGTAGCTCAGGCTGGCCTTGAAGTCACAGTGTATCCAAGGATGTCCTTGAACTCCTGCTCGTCCTGCCTCTACCTATCTAGTTATAGCCCAGCACCACCATGTCTGGTTTTATGTGGTGCTTGGGATGGAACCCAGGGCTTTGTGCATGTTAAGCAAGCACTCTGCCCACGGAGCTACAGTCCCAGAATGCTCCTCCTAATGCCCCGGATGGAGCCCAGCCCTCCCACGTGCTGGGCAAGTGCTCTACCACTGAGCTACATTCTGAGTGCTAGCGTTTTGTTGCTTTGTTGAGTCTCACTGTGTAGCCCAGGCTGACTTTGAGCTCAACATCCTCCTGCCTCTGTCTTTCTAGTGATAGGATGGTAGGTATGTACCCTCATGCCTGGCCGTGCCACATGGCATCTTTACTCTGGCATATCTTTTTGAGAGGATGCCATCTTTGGGTTTAGGGGCCTACCTAGAGTTTCCAGGGTGTCCCTGTAACAAGATACTTCATAGCTTTTGCAAAGATCCTCCCCTTTCCTTTTTGAGTCAGGGTCTCATGTATCCAAGGCTGGCTTCCAACCCTCCCGGGAGTCAACAATAACCTTGAACTCCTGCCTCCGTCTCCTGAGTGCTGGGATTACAGGTTTGCACACCTGATATTGGGGATCAGTCACTGGGCTTTGTGCATAGAGAGACAGGTCTTCAGCTCCGGGTTAGCCCACCAAAGACCCTCGGGAGGTTGCAGCACAAGGATGTGAGCCCATGTTCTTGGTGTTGGTGACATGCTCCTTATATGTCTCTCTGTCCTCCCTCCCAGGTGTATCGCTGGCTGCTGCTTCATCCCATTCTGCGTAGACGCCCTGCAAGATGTGGATCATTACTGCCCCAACTGCAAAGCGCTCCTGGGCACCTACAAGCGCTTGTAGGACTTGGCCAGGCAGTCATAGGGGATATGGTAGATGCATGCTACCGGAAATCACCTGACCCTTGCCCAGCCCACCCAGAAGAGGCACCTACCTTGATTTCATCTCTTCATGGGCTCCATCTTCGTGTCTTTTGGGGGAGGGGGTGTCAAAAAAGTAACAAGCCTCCAAACCCCAGAAGTTGCTGCTTGGAGTCATGCCCTGCACATGCAAAGACTGGACCTTGAGTGCTTCAAGGGCTTACTGCCTGCCCAAGTTGCCCCCACTAACTGTGACTGTTACCCCTTTACCTCTCCACTGATCTGCCGTTGGCTGGCTCCTCTTCGTCCTCAGTGGGCCTTCCTGGTGGCAGTCTGAAACCCAGAAGCCAGTTTGCCTTATTTTCCACTGTTATACCTGATCTCTTCTGTCTCTCCCCATCCCTGATGGCAGAGACCTTGCCTTAGAGACTGTGGTTCTGGAACTGCAGACTTCTCTGGCTCTCAGAATCACTTTAATCCCATTGGTTTCTGTTTTGTTTTCCAAGTACACAGAAAGGCTGCCAACACCCACCAGATGTATACGGAGAAGGGAGAAGGTTACAAGTACAAAATAAAAAGAACAGTTGGGCTGGGTTTAGTCACAGCCCCTCCTGCTCAGCCCCTCTCCTGGGGTAGGGGTGGAGGCTTCTTCTTCCTCACTGTCCTGTGAGTTCCTGTTGTTCTTAAACACATGTGGAAGTTACTTGGCAGGGAGACATTTCTAGAATAATTTTTATGATCATAATACAGCCTTCATTTCTCCATTTGCTGGTGTGTTTTTAGTTGGTTTTGGTTTAGTTTTGATATACAGTCTGGCTTTGTGGCCCAGCCCAGCCTTGGATGCCTCAGTTCAAGTGGGTCCTTCAGTCTTCGTCTCTTAAATACCCAGAGCTCTAGACATGTGCTACTGCCCCTCCTGGGGTTTTGTTTTGCTTTTCAGCAAATAGGTAATATCATCTACTGCCAAATGGGTTTGATGTGGTTTTGAAAACCTTGTCTGTGTGGGGCTTCTTTAGGGGAATAAGGGAACCCGTATTTGAGCCCATGCTAGGATGCTGGGAGTTGGGCCACTGGAACACCCTCAAGAGAACCTGAAGTGTGATTTTATTTTTAGAGATGAGCTGGTGTGGCCCCAGCATGGCCTTCAGTTCCAAAGGACCAGATGGGAGGATGCAAAAGGCAGGTCGGGACTCCTTCCAGGGTGACCACTCTGTCATATTTAACATGACACAGCCCAGCCAGCTTTACAGGAGGCCAGCTGTCTCCATCTGAAACCCACATAGGAACTGTTGCAAACAATAATGTGTGAAGTCAGCCTGCTCCTGGACTACATATTGGTTAAGATACAGTTCTAACCATTGTCTGAGCTGTTCATGCAATGATCCAGAAACACTGGCCATCACTTTTGCAGTGAATTATGGGTACCATATACGACTTTGATGTTACCTGCTTTTAAACAAATAAAATCTTTGGTCACTTGGTGAGTGATTCAGCTCACATGGTATGAAGAAAGGCCTTATGTTGTGTTTCCAGGCATTGCCCAAAGAATCTTAAGTTTCTCTGTTACATTAGAAAATCCTTCGTGACCCACACCTCAGGCTTGCTGAATGCTCAGCCATAGCAAGATGACCGTTGCTAACGAGGCATTCGAAGGTTTGGCTGTTGGGAGCCCACAGGCGTCATCGATGGCAGCAGGCCACGGCTTTCAAGATTTAATAAAATGCCAGGAAGAAAGCTGTCCTCATTCATTTTCTGAACAAAACCCTCCTTGTTCATTGACTGGGGTGGCTGTGTGATGCTGGGAGTTGGGGGTACCCAGCCAGAAGTGAGGGCACCACCCCTTCCTCTCTCCTACCTGTGGTGAAAGCTTCATGTTGGAAGGTGTGAGGGGAACCAAGTCATTCACTTGTGGCCTATATTGCCAGGGAAACCCACCCTATTTATGCTCTAGTGAAACCATTGCTCATGGCATCTCCATTGTGTGGTCTTCCATTTGGTCAAGTTCAAGGCTATGCAGCCAGAAGTTTGGCTGTCAGTCATTGTGATGTGTAGCTGATCTCAGGCTTGTACTATTTTACACATGCAGAGTCTTCCAAACAAGGGCCGTGTGTTGAAGACTATAAAATATATATTATACGGAGTTTAATGCCAGATGGCTACATACTTTTGTGAATTTAGACTCTCCTGGCACTGTTTCTTGGACTTTGGACAAGTAGTCTATGCTAGCTGGCACGAGATCCAGAGATCCACATAGGCAGCCTCTGCTTCTTGGCTGATGCAGTCACAATACATCCTAGGCTTCCTTTTACCACACCCCAAAACAGCATGGAGGCTAAAGGAAAACAAGAAATAACAAGGAATGGATGTGACTGCACCTAGGCATGGTGGAGAAAGTTTACTGTAGAGCATAGCCAGAGGTAGGGACATCTGAGAGAGTCCAGAGTGGACATGACCCTGAGCTGAGTGAGCAGAGAGGGAGGGAAGGAAGAGAGGGGACCAGGTGCAGCAGCCAGGAGGCCCAAAGAATAGACAAACGGGATCAGGGAACCAAAATATCTGAACTGTGTAGGGAAGGACATCCCAGTCCCTGGGCTGGTCTTCAGGGTAGAAGGTGGGTATCCCAGCCATACCCTGTAACAGGTGGTGACTGTGGATTCAGGGAGAGCCTGGAGGCCAGGCCTGCTTGGATATACTAGGTAGGCACCTCAGCATCTGTCGGGTCTGAGACCTAACAGGCCCTGTGTGGGGATCCTGCACAGACTCTCCAAGAAAGGGCTTTGAACTCGGTTGTCCTAGGTGTTCACTGCCTGCATATGTGGAGAGGAGGGTGTTTCCTGATGAAGCCTGTTGGTGGAAAAGAGAGACCAAGCCAGGAGGTGATGCAGGAAGCGGTGTGGACTGTGGCTTCAGACAGTTTCTGCTCTTAAGCCACCACCTTTGATTGCCGTGCAACACTGGGTGGGCATGAAAGCACCTCCCTGAGGGTGCCATTTCCTTGTTCTTTCCTGCCTATCCCTACCTCACTAACCTCACTACTAAGGACTGAATCCAGGGCCTCTTCCACCCTAGGAAGCCGCTTTGTACAGGACTAAGCCAGAATACTGCCGTCCCTGGGCGCTCAGCTGCACCTGTGCGGATCATCCCACCTGGACCCATTGACTGTTGGCCCCCCACCCGATGGAGGGGTAGGGAGGGTCATGGGACCTTCACCTGATGCTCCAGCCACTCTCCACCTCCTGTTGTTTGAGTGTAGCCTCAGGGAGGCCTGGAGACCCAGAAAGACTAGGGGAGGGGTCTCCATCAGTGTGGCTTTGGGTAAAACCTCACCTCTGTGTAGTAATGATTTCCCATTGCAACTTTATGGGGAGCAGCACCCACACCCTTGTAGGGGGCTCCTCAGCTGTGCTCCCAAGGAGTGCCTGAGTGAACTTCGTTGGAACCCTGCCTTGATTTGTCATTTCTATCTTGGGAGGAGAGGAGAGGTATGTCCTCACTGGAAGGAATTTCAGTAACATTGTGACAGCTCAAGCCCTTGATTTGGCCATTTGCTAGTTTTTCTGGTTTTATCTATTTTTTGAACTGGGTTGTGGTACACAGTTTAGACTGGCAGGGAGCTCTGGGAGGAGTTTTTCACCTTATCCTTTCACAGCACAGTGCTGGGACCTAAGCCACCCCGTCCTGCGCCCCCCCCCTTACCCTGAGCACACTACCACAATCCCAGTGCCAGGACCTTACCCCCCACAGTCCAGTGCTGGGACCTTACCCCCTGCATAACCCCAGTGCTGGGGTGAGACGCATCACCTCTTCTGGCTTCTTTGAGAGACTCTAGAATGCAGAAGAGGGCACATGGCGAGACTGTGGGGGTGGGGGAACTTGAGAATGCTTTCCTAAGCTGTAATTTGCATTTTGTGTTCGTGCCTGAAATTAAACCAGTAGGAAGAATGCTCACCCCATGCCAAATGGGAGGTGGTGGCTGGGGACTCAGGCTCCTCCTGTAGGCCTCGGCCTAAGACAGCCATGGATGTGTGTGTCTGGCTGAGTGTTTCCATGTGTGCCTTACTGGGTGTGTGCATGTAGGTGTGTGCATGGGGGTGGGGTCTGTTATATGAGCTTTTAATGGACATCGTAGCCCTGTGCTCTGGGAGCTTTGGGGGAAGGGTGCGCATGTGGCAGTGGAGTGTCTCTGGTGACAGTGGCATGACCATCTCACCAGCTGCAGCCTAGAATCAGCTGTTTGTGACCACTGGTGCATAATGACAGGGTCCTTCCTACGTCACTGAGATCCGCTCTGTGTGGTTGCTTTGGCTTAGCTCTCTCTGCTCTGCTGCTGTTCTAACTTCTTGTTCTTGTTTTACATGCAGCTTGCGAGTGCCTGATGGTAGTGAGTCAGTCTGCCTGTCGAGGGAGGGACAGGGCTGCTTGCTCTAGATCTGAGGGCCGACACCCATGAGAGAAGCTGATAGGATGCCTTGCTGATGTGGGGATTGAGGAAGGCTTGTGCATACTCCTGGCTTTCTCCACTGTCAACCACTCAGTGTAGTTCAGAATCCCACCCAGGGCCTGACACCCTGAGACTGGGTTAATAAAGTTAACCTTGAATCAGGAGGCGGGGCCAGAGACTAGTTAACAAGAATTATTCATAGAGACTACCACGAGGACCCAGGATACGATAGAAAGGCATAGGGAAGAGTAGGGAGGGACTTGGAGATTTGAGGACATTTTGTCTGCTCTTTTTGGTCTGGGAAGTGTTGTGAGAAGGTCAGCTGGTCAATCGCTTCTTTAATCTATCAGGTTTTTATCCCAACATCTGAGTCTATTGGTAATAGAACAACTAAGATAATAGTGGGAAAGACTTGCTGGGCTGGGTGAGTGTTCTTGGCCTCAGCTGTACACAGCGCATGGGGGACACCCACAGCCCTCTAGTGGGTTAGACCCAAGAAAAAAGCCATTTCCACAGTCTGACTAGAAGCATACAAGGGCCTGGCCAGACGACTGCCTCCTCTTAAGTCAGGGTTTCAGAGAGCAGCCCCTCACTGGCTTTTGAGGTCCCATTTATGGAGAAGGGTTAGGGTTCAGATAATTGACTGTTAGGATCTGGACAGAGGGTGGAGAACTCGGGGCTCCAGGTTGCCTGTGGGATAGATAAGGGCAAGAACACATCATGTGGAAGGCAGTTATCACAGGAGTTTAGCACATCATGGAGTCACAAATTCGCCATAGGTTGAAAATCATTGCAGTATACATTAGGTGTAGGAAACAGAAACTTAATCTTGTAAGGTCTGGAGACTTAACGACATTGTATAACAGTGTGGCTTCTTAACAACAACGTGGATCCTGTCTTAGTTTCACGTGACCAGTGTGGGCTGGCTGACACAGAGATGCTTTCATTGCATTGTTTTTGTAATTAGGTGTGAAAATGCCTAAATATGACCATAGCAAGCGTTCCCGACAGCTGAAGAGCTGAGCTATCTCTAGCCCTTTAGGATGATAACAAGTCCGACTTGGGCTTGATTACTTTACAGCAAGCAGTCCAGAAGAATTAGTAATACTGCCTTGGTCAGTTTTGGCTGGTTGTACCCTCCCCTACTGTATTTCCTTGCCTTCCTTCTCTTTTTGAGACAGTCCTATAGCCCATGCTGGTCATGGACTTCCATGTGGCTATGTAGCCAAGAATGACCTTGAACTTCTGACCTTCCTGCCTCACCTTCCAGGGGAGAACACTTTGCCGGGTTTATGGGTGCTGGGTGTGGAACTAGAGCCTGGAACATACTAGGCGAGCACTCATCCCTTCATGGCTGACGTCTGTCTGGGATGGGATAGCGTTCCTAGGGTGTGCATGGTTCTGTAAGTACTGACTGGGTGTGTGCCACGTTCCAGGACACATCGGTGAACTTGAGGGAAGAATGTTGTGCCATCAAAAAAATGCCTTGGGCCTAAGAGAGGGCTGCTGAACTAGACAACCTCAGTTCAGTCCCTGGACTCTATGGTAGAAGGAGGGAATCAACTCCAGCTAATTGTCCTCTCTCCAGCCAATTGTCCTCTGACCTCCACACGTGTGCCGTGGCACCAACTCACAAATACAATAAATACATGTTATAAAAGGGTGTTTAAAAAAGAATGACATCACTTCCCCTCACTTTATCATAGCAACAGTCTTGCTTATAAACTCACACTGAGATGCCATCAATCCTGCCAAGAACTCAGCTTCCAGAAAGAAAGGCAGCCTTCGGTGGCACTTACCAATAAAATAAGGGGGCTCGAAGTAGCTGTGTATGCTGGGTAAGCAATGTTGGAACTGTTCACAGAAGAGGAACTCCAGAGTCTAAAATTCACCCAGGCCTATTAGAATACAGTCTGGCACTGTGTCTGCATCATTCTGTGTTTTGGTGGTCCCTGTGAGCTGTAGGGTAGATGTTTAGTGGCCTCCTGGGTCTCTACCCAATAGTCTCCCACCAGCTGTGGTTAAAAAATATGTATCTCC